CTGCCACCTGGTTCTGTTTAACAACAAATGTGCCTCTCTTCATCTCCTTTTAGGACCTTTTCCCACCTGTAAAATGGAGTAAGTAAATTTGGGCTTCATAGGAGGTGGGAAAGGCAAGGTACTGCGGAAATTAGTGTTTTCACTAATCTCAAGTGTTTCTATAATAAAAAAAAAAGTGAACTATTATCTTCTAGTTAAGATTATTTGCCTCTTGGCTCTAACACTCACCACTAAAATTTCAAGACCCCAAAGCAGGAAAAAATATACTCTTCATTGTTTACCTTGTTATCAAGATTGGCTAATGTCACAACTATATTTATATACCATTCCAGCACACAGAATTGCGATCGTTTTGTTGCTGAAGAAATTCCCCCTTTGCAAAGGTATCTGTCTGTATGATAACTCAGAGGAAAGATGCTTCCATACATCTTCAAATCATTCGTGGATTCTTTGTTTCAGGTCCAGCAAACGAAGAGAGAGGAAAGTCTTCTGCTAAAGAGTATTAGGAATTAAAAATGTCCTTGGACGAAAGGAAAATCCCAGTGTTTTGGAGACAGGAGAGAGGAAGGCATGCCATATCTTAAAAACGGAGGAAAGAAGCCAGTAAGCACAGGCAGCCCCCGGAAGCTCAGAGGCATCTTACAAAATAGGGGGCAGGGTCCCTAGAAGGGGGCTTCCATCTAAACCACCTGCTATGGTTTGAATGTCCCCTCCAAAACTCATGTTGAGATGTAATCCCAACGTGGCAGTATTGGAAGGGAGGTGAGGCCTTAAGAGACAATTGGGTCATGAGGGCTCTGCTCGTGTGAATGGATTAATCCACTCTGGCTTCATGGGTTAATGGGTTATCATGGGAGGGGAATGAGTGGCTTTATGAGAAGAGGAAGAGGGACCTGAGCGAGCACATAAGCACACTCAGCCCCTTCACCATGTGATGCCTGTGCCACCTTGGGACGCGGCAGAGAGTGAGTCCCCAGCAGCAATAAGGTCCTCACCAGATGCACCCCTAGACCTCGGACTCCCCAGCCTCCATAGCTGTAAAACATAAATTCATTTTCTTTATAAATTATCAAGTTTCAGATATTCTCTTATAAACAACAGAAAACGAACTAAGACACTGCCTCCCCACATAAGAGTCACCATCCAGGGTTAGCTTTTCTTGCCCTTGATTTCCGACATAGATTTCTCATACTTTCAGAACTTGGCATTAGATACAGCATGTAAATAATGTTAAGAGAAAAAAGCAAAATACAAAAACGAGATGCACACTGCAAAAATACAAGTGCATGGGGAAGGTAATAATGTCTCTTGATAAAGAGACATTAAAAGAAGAAAGTACAATACTGTGATAAAAGTGTTATATGATTTTTGAAATAGGATTAATGTATTTAATGTTATATTATCCTTTCATTTAAAAGACAAAAAGCTCTCCGGCAACCTCAACACCGTGAGAATCCATTTTACTAGGCTTTTAGCATTAGGAAGCATAATTCCAAATACTTCGGTGCTGGCATGAACTACTCTCCCGTTGCAGTTAACTAGACTAATGCCTTCTTAAAAGTGAGCTTTATAAGCCCATTTAAAGGATAATAACATGTTGCCTTTCTTTGAGGAGACTTTCATGCTGATGAAAGCTCTAATACATCCCCAAAGTAAATAATCCAGGCTCCACTTACCTCACAGCGTGCACAACAACCTGGGCTTCTAATGACTAATACAAAGATCGGAAAGGGAAGACCTCACCACTCGGAGTCCTAAACATGCACAAGGGAGCCGGAGTTGGGACTCTGGACCTCCTACCCCTGTGGAAGCAGAGAGGGCAGCAGAGTGGGGAACAGTGTGCCGGACGAGGCCACCAGAAGGCAAAACAGTTATCCTCATTTTCCCTTTCGCCCCTTCTCTACTCACATTTCTACAGTTAAACAGGTGGTTTGTCTCTTTGTAGGTTATGCCACTCTTTTATGTATCCCCTTTTCCTGTCCTGTTATAAACTTTCAGATATTTTCCATTTGGGGGTAAAGGAAAAACAAGTTGGCATACGACCTATTCATCTATATTGTTCGTGTTAAATGTTTATGGTTGGGAGGAGTAGAATAGAGTGGAGATGTCCTGTGGATTCTAATTAATTTACGTATGCCCTTCATATGTCCTTGGTTACTTCTCTTTCACCATCACCTCCTAGACACCATCACTCCCATTACCTCAGATCAGAATTTTCCAACTTGGATTTCAAGAACACAAATTCTAAGAGTTTTTATTCAAGGCTGTGAGAACAAAGCTTTCCAGGGTGAAAAAAAGCTCTGGAAATGTTGCCTGCTAAATCCCCCCATGGAGGTTCACATCGTACATCCACATATGGAAGGCTCTGCACGTGAATGACGTGAAAAGGAAAGCCATTTAACATTACTTCATGGTTAAATCAATAAGCATTTGCCCAGAGAAGCCTTCTTTGTTTGGGCATCCACATGTTCTGGTCCAAACACTCATTCCTCCATACCAGCTGGGCTGTCCTAGGTGGACTCTCCTAATGTGTGGTTGACCTTTGATTGCCTCCTTGCCTTCTGCAGCTTGCGGATGCAGAAGATAATCAATAGATCTGGGCAACAAACAATCGCACATCTAGGTTTTATGCTAAAGACCTATGCAGTCCAATCCTGTAGCCATAAGCCACATATAGCTATTTATATGTATATTAATCAAAACTATTTAATTTTAAATAAAATCAAAAATTCAGGGAAGAGAGAGCACCTTTGGTACATGCCAGAGACTCTCTCTTCCCAGTTTGCAAAAACAAAAAAAAATTTTTTTAATTCAGTTTCTTAGTTGCGCCAGCCACATTTCAAGTGTTCAAATGAACATGTGGTTTGTTCTGACCATATTGGTCAGAACATTAACGCAGAAATTTCTATTGAATATTGCCATAATAAACCTTGTCATCCATAGAAAGAATCCTCTTACCTTCTTCTCATCTCTTCCACATCCCCCATAAGACTGTGAAATCTGCTGAAAGCACACATGGGGTTTTGTGCCCTGTGAACCCCAGCTCCCAGTCCAGGGCCCTGCAGGGAGGGCCGCTCACAAAATATCTGCTGGGTGATATAGATGTTCCTTCTCTTTGCTCCCATAGTGTGCACCTACCTCCATCACAACATGCTAGCATGTTTCCCACCCCCCGAAAAAAAAATTCATATTGGTTTTTATTGGTTTAAAAAGTAATGCAGAATAACTGGAAGAAAATTTTAAAAATCAACAGATAACACTCCCACCTATAGACAGCCACTCTTAACATTTTGCAGTATTTCCATTCATTTAATAAACATATTTTGGTTTATTGAGGTATATCTTGCATGCAGTAAAATTCACCATTTTAATATGATGTATATACGATGGATGATGAATGCAACCACCACTACAACCCAGCTACAAAATATTCCATCACTCCCAAAAAGCCCCATCTTCCACCTTTATAATTAAACCACTCCCCACACCCTGTCTCTGGCTACCATTGATCTGATTTCTGTTCCTAGAGTTCCAACTTTTTAAGAATGTCATGTGCATGGAACTATACAGTAACTTTTTTTTGTCTGGCTTCTTCCATTTAGCACAATGCTTTTGAGATTCATCTGTGTGGTTCTTTTTTATTGCTGAGTTGTGTTCTATTCCAAGGGTATATCATAATCTGTTTATCTATTCTACAGTCAATGAGCTTTCAGCTTGTTTCTAACTTTTGGCAATGATGAATAGAGCTGTTATAAACGTGTACACAGGTTTTGTGCATACCATTTTGCATTCCCATCAGCAATGTATGAGAGTGCCGGTTGCTCTGCTGCTTAACCAGCATTTTGTATTATCCTTTTTTTTTTCAGTTGAGCCATTCCAATACACATGTACTGGCATTTTATTGTGGCTTTAATTTTCATTCCCCTAATGATAAATGATGTTGAGCATCTTTCTATGTGCTTATCTATTGTCAATATCCCCGCTTTGTGAAGTTTTGTTTGAATCTTTTGCCCATTTTTAATTGGGCTGTCTGTTTTCTTATTATTTAGTTGTAAGAATGCTTTATATATTCTAAGTGCCAGTGTCTCATCAGAAATGTATTCTACAAATATTTTCTCCCAGTTTGTAGCTTATCTTCATTTTTTGAACAGTGTTTTTTGAAGAGCAAAAGTTTTTAATTATATTGAAGAACAAAGAAATATTTCTAAGTGTCTGCCGTATGCTAAACTTTGATTGGCACTGGAGATACAATAATGTCTAAGCTTAAATTTGTACTTTTTCTTTTTTACAAAATTGGCATCTATTGGTTTCTAGCCTCCTTTTTTACTATGTTATATTAATACTTTCATATCATTAAATATTTGAGACATGATTTATAATGTGTACATAGTACTCCCACCGCTATGTTTTAATTTATTAATATTTAACTATCCCTCTGTATTTGGGAATGTTTTATGTTGATCCCCACCAATACTAAAAAAGAAAAGGAAAGGAAAAGAAATATATGATTACCATCCCTGCACAGAAATCTGTGTACACATCTCCAATTATTTTCTTAGTATAAATGCTTATAATTGCAAAAACTGGGACAAAGGATTTGTTCTATTCTTGTCTCTTCAGAAAGACTACAGATGTCTCAAACCAAAGATCTTGTCTTGCCCTCCTTGTCATGCCAATATATGACAAAAGCCTGTTACATTGTAGGTGCGCTATACATACTTGAGGGAAGACTAGTTGGAGAGAAAAAGAATTCCACAGAGCTACATCCTCTCCCTTTCCTCCAGTGAAAGAAAGTAAGACTATCCTGTCTCCTTCGATGTCTACCTTGCCTTCCCAGATGAAGGGAAGAAGAAGAAAGTTTTCTTCTAAGAGAAAACTTGCCAAGGAGTTGCAGGTTCCCAGAGAGCTGAGTGACAGGCCCTGTTGCTGCTCAGCAATGCCCTCAAGGGGCCCCGCCCCCTGCCCGTATAAAGCCGGGGTGCGGTGGGGCAGCCACAGCTGGCACTCGGCCTCCAGAGCACCGGCACTGGCACTGGCACGCGCTATGGCAAACGAAGTGCAAGACCTGCTGTCCCCGCGGAAAGGGGGGCATCCTCCCGCAGGTAGGCTGCCCACCTGCCCTCCGTCCCGCTGCCTCTTCCCTCAGAGCCTTCAACAGGAGCGCCCGGCAGAGCACAGGTCCTCAGCCTCCCCAGGGTCACTTTAACTTCGTGCAGCCTGATTTCCTCCCATGTCTTTGATCCTTCTTAACTTGTGTATGAAGCCACCTGGGGGCTTATCAGGCCCCAGTGGAATAAAACCGAATTATATAGGGGAATATAACGGAGTCGGTGCTTGTGGAAAGGGATGGGTAGAGAGGTTTGCACCTTCCCTCCCTGGCTGTAGGTTCACAGTGACACATCTGCACCTGGAAGGTGACTTGCTACCATGGAAACCTTCCTCCCTAGAGGTTTCACCTCTGAGACTCAGTCTCCCCAAGATGCCTGTACATCATCTGACTTCGTACCCAGGCAAACCAGCTTCCTTCCGCACAGAGGACAGTAACCACATTTCTCTCTCCCTCCTCAGGCTTTGGGTTAGGCAGTGTTATCAGGGATGTGGTTTGCCTGTCAACAAGCTGAGAAGCACTTTTTAATAAGGACATGGGGACGGGAGGGGGCTGACTGGAAAAGGTAGCTGTCGAGGTGCTTTGCAAAACATCCACAATTGTCTTTGTTTTTAATTCATGGTATTAATATTGACTATCTGGAATATGGAGATTGGTTTCATCGAGCTTAACCATATGTTCATATAGATTGGCTGAGTGTGCAGGCCTACTTTTAGTCAATTTCATGTTCTTTCAACTGCCTTCCTGTTTCCTTAAGAAAGACCTCAAAAGTTTGACCGCTCTTTTCTTGCCTTTCTCCATTTGCAAAATTTATTTATTGGTATAATTCTTTGGCACCTTGAGGCCGAGATTATTTTAATCATCTTTGATGCAGAGGGTGATGGCAGGTGTAACCTTTGCAAAGAATGGAAATCGGTCACGGTTTCGGTGGCTTTCTCGTGGGCAGCCCAGCTCAAGAGTCAGAATTTTTACTACTAATTCTGAGTTTCCAGTTCTAGACTCCATGCCCTGATCTCCTTGGACAGACTATTGATGGTTTATATTGGTTATTGGATTTAGCAATATTTAACATCATCTCTATTTAAAGGTAATGATGCTAACAAATGGCCAGGAAGTATATATGCAAATTATTGGAAGAGAAGTTCATTTACAAATAAAGTAAAAAAGAACATCATTCTCTTCCTTTCGCTTCCACTCCAACCCTTCATAAAACAGTTAAGCTAAAACCTGATTTGCTAAACTATATTTATGCACAAAGAACACAGAGATAAACTTAACCAAATGAAAGTTTGAATGAAACCACCAGGAACTTTCCGTCCCCACCACTAATGATTGCTAATTACTCTGTGTACATAGCACACCATGACTCCATCAAGCATGTCACACTGCCTCTGGCATGACAATTAATTATTATGAACTGTGACACTACAGATAAGAGGTTTTGGATAATTAGAATGGAGATGAAGGCAGACTTTTGCCTCCCCACTGAGCACAAGGGAACAAAGAAGCTTCATCCTTCAGCTTGTCTTGCTACATATTTTAAGTCTGAACCAGTTTGCAATCATGCAAAATTGTATTTATGGAACAAAAAATAATTAGGTGCCAAAATTCTATTAAATTTTCACCTGATTTTTATAAGCAAAATCCAGATCCCTAAAAGCAGGAAGCCGATGTGATATGATGGGGAGGGTATGACAGGGCGTTTAGAATCAGACAGACCTGGGTTTAAACCTTACTTTCCTTCCGCATCTCTGAGCCTCAGTTTCCTCATCTCCGAAACAGGATGCAATAAATAACATTGATCTGATAATGTTGTTGTGATGGTTAAAAGAGAGAGCCTATGTAAAGTACCTGGCACATGAATGTTAACCCCCATAACATGCAGGCCTAGTAAAACACATCGCTGTCAGCAGGAAGTATCCTTCCCAATTTCAAGACATCCTGATGTTTCAGCTGCATTAGACACTACGACAGTAGTCAGAACAGAAGGAAAATGCAATGGAAAACGATATGTACCTGACCCATCATAGTTAAAAAATGAAGCCACTCAGAAATTGGCCAGTTGTTATCTCTTTCCCACCTACGGGTAGAGTGCTTAGCAGTTCTGCTTTTATGTATATTAATATTATTGCATCGCTGCAAGCCCTAGTTGTACAATTACCCTGTGAAACCAGACTGTGTTAAACATGAGGTGGCCTGGGCTCTGGTGAGCATAGCTTTGAATTTTCTGCTTTCTTGATTCCCCTTGCTCTCAGTTTCATAAGAACCCCATTACATGACCAGCAGCACCAAAAATGGGTAAGTAGGAGGTGATCCTTGGAAGACAAATGCGTGATAAATAGAAAAAAGAGCAATAGTTCATAAGTTTTTCTGTATTTCCTGCACTTTTTCATTTGGTTTAAGCCGAAGGAATCAGAGCCATCAGAGGAGTCATCACTGAATCCCTAGAGAATAGGTTTTCTAGCTCGTTAAAAAGAGAAGGAAGTTTGGAGGGGGGTATGCCCAAGTGTAAAACTAATACAGAAAATGGGGAATGACCATAACTGCGTAAGGACCAGAGTCGTTTAAACACACATGCACACACCTGAAGGGCTTCAGTCTTTCAAGTCCATCTGCTCAAGTCAACATGTGAGTCAAGCTCTGATAAGCTTGTAATTGGGGGGAAAAAAAAAGTCAACATGTGGGGGTTGGAAAGAGACAGATCTAGGAAGCCGGAAAAGAGCAGTTCTGAGACTAACTGCTCCTTCTCCGGGGACGAGGGTTTGATGACTGCAAGGACAACTGCCATTCACTTAATGCAGCCTGTGCCTGGTACAGCACAGAGATATGACAGCGGCCCTGCAGGCGGGTGATGTTTCACAAAGGAGCAAACTGAAGCTCAGCGAGGTGAGGGGACTTGCCCCAAGCCACACAGCTAGTGGGCAGTGGATCTGGGATTGGAAAATGAAGGTGGCCTCATGCCAAAGCCTTCTCTTGCTCTAAAGCTGCCTCTCTTTGCCCCGCAACCTTCTCTTGAGGATTGTGGGGCCTTGATTGACAGCCTAAAATTTTATGATAAATCAACTGTAGACACAAAGTAAGCATTTTGCAAACATCTAAACTTTGAATTAAAATCTTCAAATAGAAGTTCTCAGCTACAAGGCAGAGTTTGCGCACACTTTTGTGTCTTTCAGCTTTTCCACGTAAGTGCTCCATGGATTAGTGAAGGAAAAAGGCTAATTTTTCTTTCAGGCTTGTGTTTATCTTGACTACTCTCTACCAAAAACTGTGCAAAATGGCTGGAAAATCTTAACTGGAAAATTATTATATAGAATTCTAAACTAAAAAGTTAAAAAAAAAAACAACCAGCCACAAGAGTGCAACTCTTATGCAGAGGTAATAAAGCAAAGCTTCATTTTCCCCATGTAAATTTAGATTTTCTAATGAAACTATCTGAAAAGAGTATGTCTCCTCTTTCCATTTTCTGTCTCTAGTTCATTTTACTTATTGAAAGGACCTAAAGTCTTACCTTAAGTATTTGAACTGAAGGCCCTGTTAAAATGTTAGATCATATTTTACTTTGCCCAATTCTAGTTGATCTTTCTACAAAGGTTCAAAATGCATGATAGTCCCCAACATGGAGCTGTGTAAAGGATTATGAATTTAAATGTATTGATTCGGATACAGTGAGACCTTGAAAAGGTCTCTTGAGTCAGACTTACCTGACATACACAAAATGGGCAAGAACCTGATTGTGTTGAGTTGTAAATGATGACTCATCCAGATCCCAGGAGACCAGTGTGACCAGTGTTCTCAGCGGAGCTTTGAAGACGACCTTCCCACAAACAGGTTCCATCTGGTTCAGTCACCCCAATGTGGTCAGAGCCTTAATCCCTCAGTGCATCCCTCCATCGTATGGGGAAATTATTTTCTGCTTCTTTCCATGGATAGCCAAGGGAGATTGCCTACCAGAACAAGTTTGGTACCAAGCTTGGTACAAGCCCTTCCAGTCTTTGAAGGTGTTGTGGAAATTCAAGATGTGGTTTCCTTAGTTTCTAAGTCACCCAGTTAGAGCCCATAGCCTATAAGAGAGAGGATTCAAAGACTGCTGGGTGGTAGGAGGGATCTTCTGGGAGAGGATTTTTAATTATTCCCCCCAAATGTCTCTTTTATTGTTCTTAATAATGAAAAACTCTTATGTTTGCAGCAGGGGTTGGGAGGCAGTTATTTCTTTTGGCATTGATTTCTCTATTAAGTGCCCTGTGTTCTTTCTGACGAGAGAGCAGTGATGGATTTTCTTTTGGAGGTAGATGAGAAGAGTTGGAATAACAGTCAGGACTTTATAATCAAGATTACCTAGTTCAACTTCTACTGAATTTCCCCAAATTTTCCTAGGTGTTCATGACAGGTCAACCTCTTTCCTTCATTTTAATACATTGAGGGGCGAAGAACTCATTATTGTGCTGTGCCATCTATTGCACTTTGAAAAACACAAACTGTTATCTATAGCCAGACTCTGTCTTTCTGGAACTTCCATCCTTTGGTCTTCATTCTCTCTTCTGGAAAAACATAAAATAAACATCAATAATAATAACCACTAATTACTATTATTAATTGCCTGTGATGCACAAGGTTCTTATGTTACCTCTATTCCATACAGGGTGTCCCAAAAGTCTCCATACAAAGAAAAAATTTCGTGAAATTTTGTAATGAATATTTTGTAAACAAACGTCCATTTAGCTACAATTTCCCATTTTCCCTATGTATGGCAACTTTCGGGACACCCTGTAGAACAACCCTGACAACAAGAAGTCAGTATTATTCCCTTTTGAAGGATTCGGAAACTGAGCCTGAGAGGAGCTTAAGGATCTTCCTCAATATCGCAGAGCTTAGAAAGAGTACAGCCATCTGACCCTACGTGACAGTTCCTCAGCGGGAAACGCTCCTCCTCCCACAGGCAGCCCTTCCCATCTTTGAAGGTGGCACCTGAGCTCCCCTGAGTCTCTGCTTCTTCAGGAGTCGTCTTACCAGGTTCCGTAGCTCCTCGTGTGACACAGCTCCCTTCACTCTGCTCACCCTCCTCTGGAGATCCTCAGATTGTCAATGTCCTTCCAAATGAGGGGCACAGAACTCAATATTCCAAAGGTCTTCTCATTTGTACCTATAACAATATTGCTTCTATAGTTGGCGATAATAACTAGTCCAGGTGAAAGAAAATGTGTAGAAACAATAGCATCAGGGAAAACAAAGAGAACGCTAACAAGAAAATAACTACAGCACGTCATATTTGAAAAGCCCTTGTTGTAAAGAGAATGAAAAACACTGCTGGGGGTGTATTGAAGGCCCATGTCCGAGAAGCCCCGGACCTGCTTGATTGTTCTTGGTAGAGTAGATAGCGGTGCTGTGAGCAGACACCACCCCTCATACAGAGGCACACGCACCTCAAACATTCTTTCTGAAAAAGCCCCTCCCTTGATTTATTTCACCTGTATTCCAGGGCTATTCAGAAGATGTTTAAAGCAGAGCGTGTATGAGGATAGCATTTTCTTTCCTAAAATAAATCTAACATTACACAATTCTACTGAAAGGCTTTTATATATAAATCAATTTTTTAAAAACTTGGTAATCCAAATGACCAAATGGAGTTTATTCCATGAATGCAAGAATAGTTCAATAGCAAGATATCTATTAATATAATTAACCATGTTAATGAGAAAAACCATATGATTATATC